CCCCATCCTCTCCAGCCACTCATTGGCCGCCCAAATGTTGCCGACTTGGCCATTCCAGTGTGTATTTGTGTGTGTGAGTGTGCGTGTGCGTGTGTGTGTGTGTGAGAGTGTGGGTTTTGAGTGTTTGCCATTCGCAGTTGGCGCGGACACGGAAATGGTTAACAACAGCTGCGGATGTTGTGCAAATTTAATAAATATACCTCGCTTGACTCTTATTTATTCAATTTTATGCAGTGACGAACCCCTAACACTGCACTGCATACTCTGTCCAGTGCAGGCATTTGTAGGGTATTATGTACACAAATTGTTGTAAAAAAAAAGTAAAAAAGAGAAGGGCTTTATTTTACAGTTTTAGTTGCCCCAGTCGTAATCGACCATATGTATGTGAAGATATTTTATAAAAACGCCAATAAGCAAACAAATGTTTGATAACATTTATTTTTATTTGTTTCTCTGGAACTTTTTTGACTTAGTACAGTGTATTTTGTGGTCGTGCTGTTAGGTTTCCATTCGTGTATTTTTATTTGACAGTGTTGCGTCTAATTAGTAGTTGGTTTGACAGGAAATGCATTTCAACTTTTGGCGTGAAGCCCTTGCCAAATCTAATAACCGAAAGCAATAAATAATTTCAGTGCGATTACTAGACTAAAATATACAGTCAGTTAAAAACAAACTGCATTAAATGTGTGAAACAAAAGCACAACTTAAGTCTTAATAATGCCCGACTCAGACGGGCTTTTGTAATGTGCACATTCTGGATTATTGCCTGACCAGTCCCATTATCTGATGAGCTTTTTCATTTAATATAGCCAATCTTGCTGTTCAAGTACGATTTGGTTGTCCTTTGAATAGTTGATAGCTCTAGTTAAATATATGCCCGGATATGGCGGAAATACGATAAAGTCTTGATTTTCATGAAGTTCTTGCATTTCGAGTGCTTGAAGGACTTTGATGTTTTTTTTTTCGAACATGCAGCCCAAGGTTGTCATAAATTATATCCGATTTCTTGATTTTTCAGCGCTGTACTACCCTTGTGTAATATTTGATTATACCTTTCCTGAATTCTGGAAGTTAATGAATGAATGAATGAATCGTTAGTCCTTTTCTCGTGAGAAGACAATGTGAAAATGTTTGACATTAGCCGTTAACAGGATGTGATCAGCTCACAGACCACGCGATCCATGAGGCCAGGTATGGACTCGAGATCCTTTAGGATACTGCAAAATGAATTAAAAAGGTTGAATATTTCAGTCAGATAACGTATAAATTAAAAATAAAAATAGTTAGGTAACTCAATGCTCAAATATCAGTAGCTTTAATTTTACTTTAATTTATAAATAAAAAATTAAAAATGCAGGCCCAAAATCTTTCCATACTTCAAACTATCTTCTAATGCTAGAAATGGTGTAATAGTCGCTCAAACTAATCGAATGACTAATGTCACCTAAATTATTACATTGGTCTGACCCGGACACAGCCAGTTGACTGACTGTGATCTGATTGAGCTCGAAATATAGATGGTTTCAGCTCTTGAGTAAACGACAAAAGTTCATTGAACATGTGATGAGGAAGAGCGATATGCAAATCGAGTTCAAAAAAGAGATGCAGATATATTGATTTTACTAGAAATGAACTTTGGGAGACAGAAAACTTGAGTTAGTTTACGATTATTTAAAAGTTGTAAGCTAGATGAGGTTATAAAAGAAAATATTTAATTTTCCGAAATAAGATATGCAGACAGACTTTTTAGAGAGTGGATTTGAATTGTTGTCTTGTTTTCTCAGCGTGAGATCCAGGAAACAGTTAATCTGCGTGCCACAAATATGACGAGCAACTATGCGTGGTAATCAGTCATTTAGAAAACTGTTGCAACAATAGCCGTTTGAAAGGTCATTTATAAAAAAAGCTACGGGCAATTAAACGATGTCCAAGAAAATCTGTCGCAATTGTCTAGCTGCTGGCTAAAACTGAACATCCAATTCTCCGCACTCATAAATTAGATTCTGTGGGCTTTTTTAAGGCAGTGTCACGCCCACACACACACAAACAAACAAACACACACTCATAAACACACACACACACATACACAATGCCCATGGTGATTGCTTGGCAATTCAGCTCAAGATTTTCCGCTGCAATTGAATTTGGTGTCCAATGCCCGGCAATTTATTTGGCGCAACAATTGTTTTGGCATTAACAGTCTGCAATAAAAATGTCAGGAGTAGTAAAAAAAAATTGAAAATACCAAAAAACGAACATATAGTAAAGTCGGTAAATTGATGACCATGCTGTTGTTGTTGCTGTTGCTGCTGCTGCTGCTGCTGCTGCTGCTGGTGGTGGTGTGGCATGCCACGTTTGTAGCTGTCGCTGTTGCCATCCATCACACTCAAAGTGAAATAAATTGAAACTAATACCAAAAGGCAATCAATGTATGCTTTTGTTGCTAATGATGATGTTGTTGTTGTTGTTGTTGTTGTTTTTGCAACAGCTGTTGACGTTGTTAGTCGTACGTCACTGTTACTTTCCCAAACAACCTGAAAATCCTGTTCGCTGTTGCATTCATTTGCCAAAGTCAAAGCTAGAGATTCCGACTTGAGCCAAAGACGCAGGCGTGACTGTGACTATCGCTGTTGATTTTGCTATGGCAAAGGCGGCGTGGTCATGGAAAGTCAACTGCTGTTTGGTGAAAATGTTCACCTGCGTTTTTGTGGATCAACTGCTTCAACTTCAAGTGGCCACTTGGCCAGTCCATGTGGAGCAGCTGCCTGTGGCTCACTTTCTATGCTGATGCTGACAAGTCTTGACAGATGTCTTGAGCAGTTGCAGCGACCACTCAAAATTCAGCAAGAGATAGCATCGCCAACCAGCTCCACGACTGGCCTTAAATAGGTAAACTGCTCACAAAACTGGCTAAATATAGTATGCATAGATTATCGATGTGTTTGTAGTGGCAGCCGTCAGACGTTCAAATTGTAATTCCTTCACTAATTGGTAAGGCTGCAAACAAAATATTCGTTGCTTTGGTCAATGTCTGAAACAATGTCTTGCCCTATAAGGAATTGATTGTCATTATTATTATTTTTAGTATATCTGCTCGCTTACTCGTTGATTGACCTTTAGATATTATCTCTTTGCACTCCTGCAGCAGTGAACTTTTTGGCAAAGTAATGCCATTAAGCTTTACATTTCTCTCCTTTGGTGTTGTCTATATTCCCATAGAAAAATAAAACTTGATAATACCAATGTCCTGGTGTCGTTACCCTGACAATGTGTCAACCCTAAGACTGGACTATAATTAACGCTCACGTGTCACATATGTCCACATTCCGCGTCTACTTTCATGTCTGCCATTCTACGTGTGCGTGTGTGTGCGTGTGTGTGTGCGTGTGTGTGTGTGTGTGTGTGTGTGTCTGTGGGAGTTCGACTGCTGGTATGTTGGTGCTGTGGATATGCCACCAATAACGACCCAAGAACCCTTTGGCGACACGTCGTTTTTAATAGTCAAAGTGACACGCTAAGCTGATTAACTCTAATCTAAAGTGGAAACAACCACCAGCCAAAAGCAGACGAATAAAAAAATAAAAATAAAGAAGATGATAGTTTAAAGAGGAAGAGATAGAGAGAAAAACAGTCCGCCTTGCCACTGACTCTATAAAGCTAATCGGAGCTCAGAACCAGCAGAAGAGGCGTGTCGACAAAAAAGGAAAAAAAGCCAAATGTTTACATTTGTCAAAGACAAAAAAAAATGTAATGTGGAAAAAATCAAATAGAATTCTAGTGTCTGCCATGTAAAGATACTTGAATACCCTATATTTTGTGAATGTAAGAAGGTGTCATTCTCGAGAACATTTCAACTTGGATTAACTTGTGTGCCCTAAAAAGAAGAAGAAAACTCCTCGCTGTTAACATAACTTCGACATTTGCTGTGATACAGAGTCAAGTATAATTTTAGCCGGTATACTAACCGAGCCTCAGTACCTCAATACCTAAAGTTAGGGCACAAAAATGCCTGAGGATGCAAGGACACATAACATTTCACAAACCGCTGAATAAAGGTTGCTCTGGGTCGAAATCGAAATCAGATTCGGACTCAACGGCGAAGTTATTTTTAGCTTTTATTGTTCGAGTCGGAGGTATAAAGGGGCTGTGCCGTTTGCCTGTCTGCAGCTCTTATCTTCTCCTAATTTTATTCGACTATGTGTTTTGATAATACCCGCGTCTCATGTTCCTGTTCTCTGCGGACTTCAGTACGTCTACTATTTCTTTTTGTGTGCATTCGAATAGTTGTAGTGCAAGGGGTCCTTACTAATTTCGTTGCGCAGTTTGGCAGATTTAGTAAAGCATTTGCTATTTCTAAGTCAAGCTTGCAACCCATGACTCACAATATATATGAAAAAAGATTCGATTGTTGGTATTTCAAAAGAAGTAAATCAAAAGCTTAAATATAAAATCATTTAAAAAGCAATCAGTTGTTGCAGACAGAACAGAGACAGACAAACTATATGATTAACTTTCTAGCAGCTTCAGCGTTCAGGCCGAAACTTTTTAATTCGATTGAATACTTTCCAAATTTGCATCTCTACTCAAATTACAATTGATTTCTATTAAAATACAAGTACAATGATTGGTGGAGTAGGAGTAGCAGTAGCAGTAAGTAGGGAGGGGACAACAACAGGGTCTTGTGCAACTGCTAAGAAGTGCAAACTGTCCCAATGCTTTGTGTAGTGGCCAAGTGCAAGTCCATATTTTGACGCTAGTTTTCACCACACAGAGGCAGGCAGTGGAGAAAAGTGGTCAAACCTGTGTGTCGTCTGCACAGTCAAATTGCACGACGCGCAACGATTTTCCATCGGCTTCGGCTGCTGCTGCTGCTGCTGCTGTTGGCTGCGACGTCGGCGCCAACGTCAGCGGCATTATCAGGTCCAGGCAGAGACTGCGACTTCAGTCGCAAGCGAGCGTTCAGCGCGTGAACGTTGTGTCTGGCAGAAGCAGTAACTCTAAATAGCAGTAGAGGCATTGGCCGGAACAGTAGCAGTCACTGTGGAACGTTACCAGTACCAGTGAACAGTAGCAGTCACTGTGAAGCGTCAATGTCGCGTGCTTTTCCCGTATGTTTCCTGCTTACTAACTTATGTATTTTTTTCAAGTGTTTTTCCAAGTGATTTTCGCGCGCGTTTTCCACGTGCCACGTGCTGCATGTGGCGGCTTCAATTTGTTTTTTGTTGTTGCTCGTTTGTTTGTTTGTTTGTTTGTTTGTTTGTGCGTGTGTGCCTCAAAAGACCGCTGCAATTAGCACCTTTCAAGCAGAAACAATTTCATTTACGATTTGTTCTCTGATTCAGCGAAAGTTGCTTGCATTTTATATTTGGTTTTGCAACTGTATTTGCTTTATAAAAATCAGTGAATTTACACGTATTAAATCAGTTATCTTTGTTAATTGTTGGGGAAATTGCAGACGTTGCCTGCAATTTTGCCGCACAAAGCAAATAAAAGTTCTCAACAAATTTTCGACTGAGCGAAAACATTCAAAAGAATTTTGTCTGTGGTCCCAAAAATTAAGTTAAATATCAAATCAGTTTTAAGCAGATTTCAACTTTTGTTTTCTATTTTTTTTTTTTTGTGGCAAAAACCTTAAAGTGTTGAATTTAATTTCAAGACGAAAAGTACAAATGATTCATATGAGTTTGTGTGTGGCCCAAATGGATTCTAGAGTTTGACCTTTTTGAAATATTTATTTACGAAAGACTAAAAACTATATTTGCAACTTATTAGTTTTTTCTGAGTTGACGAACGGCAATTTTCCCCATGCTCAGCAAAGATCTTAATAAGCCACCTGAAAAACAATATAATCGATGTTGGATTTGTGCTCTTCTTATATTATGTTGCCTCCATGAATATTATATTTGTTTTTATTTTTTTCACGTCTATTACGTATTGTGTACATAGCGCTTGCGAATTATAAGCCCATGCTTATGTGTTAGTTTTCGTTTTATACTCTGATACCGAAAGTGATCGAGTATATTGGTTTTGTGAAATCTATTCGTCTATATGAATGCCACTTATTTACACCATTAAAGCTAGCAACTTCAAACTTGTGACATACAGTAATCTTTGCCAGTGTCAGACGAAATGTAGAGGTTGGGGTGCCGTGTCTATACTGGGGGCCAGGAAATCGATATAGCCACATATCTCACATAGTTTTAAAACTAGAGTCATCCAACTTGGAATGCAATTTTTGGGTCAAGCCAACACACCTGGTAATTCACCCATGAATATAAGAAGTTCAAATATCTTGTATACTTTTTAACTCCCCTTAAAGATCTATTCGGGCAATTCTATAGATAGAGACATTAAAATTAACAGGCACAACTCTCACCAACATTCCACCCCAACACAGGTTATTTGCTGCTATAACATTGACATCGGGGTATTCAGCAGTCGGTTACTCCCGACCACAACGTTCTCACTTGTATTCGTTTTTTGATTTGTCTAGTTTGTCACTTCAACGATATTGAAACTGCATCGGGTTTCAGTTTTCTTTGCTGTTTTAATTCGCTTTGACTTTCACCGCCGGGGGTTTTTCTGTGAGTGACTTGGCAATTATACTGTCGCGTATTTATACCCTGTAAACATTCCAGAGGTATACCACATGATCAAGAAAATATATTTGAACCTATAATATATTTTATCAAATTCGTCATCCTAGATGCCCATGTGTAGATTCCGTTTACTTCTTTTTACTATCCTGTGATATATCTAAAGAAATTCATTAAAGCGAACTATATTTGTGTGTTGAGATTTTCTCTATTTGAATTGATATGGGTAAACTGATATTGATGTAGATTTTATCTATGTTTTTCTTTTCTCTGCTTTAATTTTCAAATTATTTTTAATCAGCCTGCAAATCTTTGCCATATTCATGTTTAGCGAGTTCAGTTTTCAGCTTAATTTCAGCTTTTGTTTCGTACTTAAATTTGCTGTAAAAATTCCATTAACGCTGCTTCTTCTCATACTGAATGCTTGGCACATTTCGTTTCATTGAAAATCTTATTGTCATTTCATTTGATTAAAAATTTCATAATGCGCATCCTGCGAGCATTTGTCAACTAAGTACACCAACGACAACAAAGCCGAGTCCCTACACTTTTTTGCCTGTCCCGCAGGCAGCGGCTCTGTTTCGTGTGTGTGTGTGTCTGTGTTTGTGTCTGTGTATGTGTGTGTATGTGTGTGTGTGCTTGTCTCTCTGTGTGTGTAAATGTAAGAATTCAGGAGAAAAATGAAAACGTTCCGCAGCATTTGCGATTGTCGGCTTTAGTTGTCTGCTTTGTCGCGTTTGCTCATTTGCTCATTTGCTCGCTGTATAACCTGCCCTGCTAAAACTGTCAAAAATGGTTTCGTAAAAGTCAATTTATATTACCATTATGCGCATAAATCATATGGCTTATTGGCAGGGAAAGTTTGGTAAGGGTCTGGTAATTTGACTACATAAAATTCATAAAATTTAATTACAAGCTCAATAAGCAATTGCTATAAGTTACTATAACATATTTTAGATGTGAAAATTTCCAAGTGACCCAATCAAAAATGTATATGAGAACATTTAGAATCATTAAAATGGTATCTGCTAGTCGCACTTTGCTTTTTCGTTCATAAAATGTTTGGTGATTTTTGTTTACTTTTTGTCCCAGCAATTTTTGTTTTACTGCTTCATGTTTTATTTAGGTGGCAATTTTGACGTTGTTGTTAGTTTTAATTTGATTTCCATTTTGGCTCCCAAACAACTACAACTACAACAACAACAACAACATCCACACCACCAACAACAACAAACAAACAAACGACAGAACAAAGTAAGCGAATGGTCCCAGAAAAATGTGGCGCTTATGAAATGCCCAACGCCCGTTCCATTGCATGGCAAATGAGCCGAAATTGAGCATCAGGGGAGCGACCGTAGAATAAGAGTGAAATTAGAGAAATGTGAACAACAATTTTGCCACGCTGCAAATAAAAATTGCATGTGCAATGACTTTATTTGTGTCATCACAAATCGCAGCTAACAGCTTAAAACTTAGCGGTTTATTGCTATTTCATACGAATTATTGATCTATGCTCGACAACGACAACAACAAAACAAACATTGGAAACAATAATAGCAACAATCTCATTTAACGGCAACATTGAACATCAATTGACATCACGCATACGCAGTGTTTGACGCCAAATTTTTGCAACAATTTTGTGTGTTAATTGGTCGTGTCGAATGGGTAAGTGAAATTTCTTGTTTGCTTCACACATCTACCGCTTTTCCTTTCTTTCGTTTTACTCATTTTCACCATAAAAATGCTTTGCCAGTTTTCCACACACATCTGAAACCACGTATTGAGAAGTCGCTTCAAACCAATTAAAAAATATTGACATTTTAATGCACTTTTTCCCGTAGATGTGCGCCGCCATGAAATATATGTATATATTCCTGACTAACATCATGAGCACAGTCGATATAGTCGTATTCCTGTACATGTCTGTCTGTCAAACTAGACTCGTAGGTCTGCTGTAAAACATATTTTTTGCAATCATATCAACAAAGCTAACTAATGCTAACCTAACATTATGAATTACATTTTTCGTTTCCATTTGAAGATAGATTGTAATAGGCACAGAAAACTGCATATTGGAAAAAGAAACTTTTTATTTAATTTAAATGGTTTTAAAAGATGGTGATACAACATGATAACCGTTTCAAGTTTTCATTTAATAAATAATATATATTATTATATCGATAAGCTTAAGTTTGATTTATCATGAAGGTTAAGTTTGGCGATTCGATAAAAGAGAACACGTCGGCCGGTTGCGTATTTGGTTTGTTTTGTATTTTTGATACAATGCGTTGCATTTGTTTGATTTCTATCGAAAGCTTTTGAGCAATTGTTATTTAATTAAACAAATTGTTTTGCTTGGCATTTTCATTAACAATTTCTATGGCTAGCATTGAATGGTTTTGCAATTTGATTTCGTTATGGTTTTTGTCCTTTACCCAATAGCCAAAACTCCATTTATTTAAATTTTCATTACGAATACCACAAAAAAAAAAACACACACACACACACAGGCACACAGTTACACACACACGTGTGGTTAGGGGATATGTGGTTGTGCACAATAAAATCTGTGGAGAAGTAGCTAATGAAAATTTCGGGAAATGCATTTCCTGTCCGATATTGCATTTGACATGCCAAATTGTAAAAATTATAGATTTATGTTTGAGCAAATAAGCACACACACTTTGCAGATGAATACAATACAAATATGCACGGCTTATAGATATATTTATTTACATTTATTTAACTCTGAGTATTGACCTCATGTCGAGTGTTGGCTGCTGTCAAAGGTTTGACAGTTTGATATGCGATACGTTTAATTTGGCTATTATTTTAATATAATTCAATTAAAAGATTTTTATTTACTTAATTAGGCTCGTTGAATCGATTCCAGTTTGCAGTATGCAAATAATTGCATTTATTTTTAGTCGAGCGCTTTTTCAACTTCATTCATAATTGATGGCAAATTTGTGTGCTTATTATATACTTTATTCTATATATTTAACACTTTTGAGGTTTATTTCAGCAAATGCTGCTATATTCAGAAACAAAGAAATTAAATAACAATTATTGCAAACATTTATATTAAAACATTTGGCTTCAGAATCGAAGCTCTTAAACTAAGAACAATGCCAATCTGGAATGTGTGTTTAAAAATAAGAACGAGTCGAGGAAGTAAGAAGATTTAATTCTATTCAGTCTATGATAATCTAACTCTATCTAAGAATATGTTCTTGACTTAGGATTTTTAAAATGGATGGATATTTAACGGAAATTGGCGAATATAATCGAAATTGAAATAAATTGCGCCATTTTATTGAAAATTCCGAAAATCTAAAAAGTAAGTGAAAATGGGAGCACAGCTGTAGGCAAATAAATAATTCACTTGCACCCAAAAGTCAGTCGAAAGTCTTGCTGTAAAAATACCCACAAATGCGGCAACGCCCCACAGTTTTGATCGCCCATCAGCATAAAGCAACAACATGCCAACAGAGTCAGCGATGCATTCAGAATGCCTTTTAATTATCACGCGGTAGTTGATAATACAGAGAGAAAAAAAACTGAACAAAAACTAATAAATAAATACGTAAATTCAAAAATAAATAAACAAGTACTCAAATCAACTATGCGTGAAGAGCTTACACTCAGTTGTATGCCTATTTTTTAATATATTTTTTCCTCATTATTAAATCAAAATACAAAACCTTTAATTTGTAAATTGTTGTTTCAACTCGGAATCAATGCTAATGCTGGATTAATTTTGCAAAAATTAAAGCTGACACTAGCACAAGTAAGTTGGGCTTTAAACTAGACTTATGTGATTAAAAAGATTTGTTTGACATAAGTTTACTTATGCATCACATTTGCCAGTGATTCTCTCAATCTCTCTCAAATCTCGCAATCAATTTCTGAAATTTGTTTGCTTGTAATTGTGATATTTTCTGATGTGCCGCGAGCCTGTCGTGGGTGGTTTCATGATAAGGATTTTAAGTTTTCAGAGTGGGAACCAAGATCATTCGACCTGAATCCCATAGAGTGGGGACAAGTGGGGACACCTGTTCCATTGAGCTTAAGTGGGTAATCGACGGTTTCGGACAGTTGAGCACCTACCAAGGCTGTCGTTAAGGAATGGGTCAAAATCTAACTATCTGAGTTCTAAAAAGTTGTTGAATCGATGCCAAATCGATTTCTTTTTTAGTTATAAACAATCATAAAACATTTTTATGACATTTCAACATATTATATCCTCACTTTAAACAAAAAAATATTAATAAAAAAATGTTATGTTAATGTTACAAACTTAATTCCTTTTTCATTCGACGTGAATTTAAAACAGCCAACTTTTCTGGAACAAAAAAAAATTTTAATTTTATTTGAAATTTTATAAATTTCGTGGAGTGTATATATATATGTATACATATATATATATAGTCTTCTGATTTTGTTGTGTTGTTCCCTGTACTTTGGCTTTTGATAGCAAAGTCGATTGAGATACAAGCAAAGCTCTGGCTTAGGCAACTCTAGTTAACTGTCAAAACTGAAGGAATTGGTAGTTGGATAATGGAGGGTGTGTGGGTAGGTTAGTAAAGCTACCTGGCTAAGCACCTTAAGCCATGGCAGCAACAAAACAGATTGCCACGACTGTCAGGCCTTTGATTTTCTCCAGGTTTACGCAGGGCGTAACTCTTGCATCTCCGTCTTGTTGTTGTTTTTGTTCATTCCTTTTTCCTTACACTTCATCAATTTGACTTGGGCAATGTGTGGACCTCCAATTCCAGCAAATTCCCCGCACATCTTCATCATCATCAGCCGGCAAATAAATGCGCAAACACATGTTCCCAATAAAGTTGTGACCATCTCTCTCTCTCTCTCTCTCTCTCTCCCCCTCTCTCTCTCTCTCTCTCTCTGTCTCTCTTTCTCTGTGTGCATATGCTTGAAGTTTTTGTATGTGCGTATGTGTGTGTGTGCGTATGTGTCTAATGTATGTATTTGCATCTTTTAGTGTGTGTGTCAAACACGTGTAGACGAGCGCAAGCCGGGCAAAAACTATACAAAAAGTTTTGGCTTTGCGAATGGCCCAAGGCACCAATTGCGTTAAAACCCGACTGGTTAACAGAAGGTGGCCAAAAGTTAATAGCTGGCCAACAGCTGTAATTCGTAGATACACAAACTGACTAAATATTGGGAAATGTGCGTGTGCAATTCTCGATTTGCCGCAATTCAACTGATATGCAATGTAAGTAAGTTAGAACAACATTTACGGCAAACTTGGGGCATCAAATAAGTTGAGGTACACAATATATGAGATACTAACTCATATTAGCTGGCCTTGTCTGCCTCGAGTGCACTTTCTAATATCCCAACTCAGTTCATTACCCATTTTCCAAACGCAAAATATTACCTTAACTTAGTTGATCAGCTATGTTAAAAATACCCAATAATACCATAGCTGAATCCTTCGCAGATTTTCCGCCTGCAATAGTCAATATTTCAAAGTCGTAGTAAAAGGATTTTTTTTTTAAGTTGGCCTTAGCACTATCTTTCAACATGATTTTTAATGACTTAACATCGACGTTTGAAAATTATTTGAGACTATAAAGAATGTAAACGTTTCAAAACCTGAAGATTTGCCTAACTCCGGAAGTTTGACTTGTCAGTCCATGTTTTTGATACTATGCTACAATGTGTACACATGTAAATTTGAAAAATATTTAGAGACAGAACGAACATCTTCTACTTCAAGTTTATAACAGATGGCTGCTACTTACTGCACAGCTCAGCTGACAGTTGACAAACGCTACAGATAAAGGGGCTTAGTGTAACACTTCCGTTTCCTGCACGTGTCTCGCACAAACACCAACACACACACGCACACACACACGCACACGCACACACAAACACACACACGCCCATCGCAACGCCAAGCGGACTGGCCGATTTATGTAGAGACTGGCCGCTTGGGGTATGCGCGCAGACATTTGATTAATGGTTTTTATGCATCACTTCGGCTCGGAGCGTTGCGCTTATGAGGCAAGTGTATGGCAACAGCAGTGTTGCCATCGAATATGCGTGTTGTGGCTCGGTGCCCGAACAGGCAGCGGCTACTCAGCTACTGTAACTGTAACTGTAACTGTAACTGTAGCTGTAACTGTAACTGCAACTTTAGGGTTACTGTAACTGTAACTGTAACTGAAACTTTAGGGTTACTGTAACTGTAACTGTAACTGTAACTGTTACCCTATAGCCAACTGACAAGCGGCCTTATGTGGTATGCCATATGATTTTATATATATGTATATATCTGCATGAAAGATGGTGTGTGTGTGTGTGTGTGTGTGTGTGTGTGAGTTTGATTCATTTTGCACATGTCGTTGGGTTCGCCACGTTTTTCGTGCTGATTAGTTTTGGGAATTATACGCTCTGGACTCTTGAGCTCGTTGGCCTCGATTGTCAAATATTGAAATAGATGCGCTTTGTATTTAACATTCAGCTTGGCCAGCTGTCAGTTTGCATCCCTTGGGTGTTGGGCCGAAAGGTTAATTGGTTACAAGTGTTCATTAAGTAGCTGAGAGACTTGCGTGTCTCCTTGAAACATCGATGTTTTACGGCACGGGAGATCTTCAATAAGTTAAGCTTTCAATTCGTTTGATTAGCCTGGCCAAAAG